TTTTAACTTTTCAATTATGTGCTTATTTAAGTAACAGGTGGTCGCAAATGTATTTGCAATAATTTGAACAGTTCAATGCTGCCTTGCGTGACGCACAGTGTGCTGTGCAACAAATCAACTTTAAATAGCGCAAACGAAAGTCTATAACATTTTTTTTTTTTATTATTTTATATTAACTGTGACTGCGTCATTAACAACTGCAAATTCGGTGGCTATAAGTAGCTACATAAATGGTGCTTACCTCTGTCGGCTCGAATTGCATTGCTCTTGTTTATAGCTGGTCGCCAATGTCAAAGTCACAAAAATTTTACAACTGAAATTTTATTGAAGCAGCCGGATTACGTACAGTAGCATTCTATAGAAATTTTATTTGACTTGAGAATTGAGGGAAACTTGCGCATTTAATTGCTCTTGATAAATAACGGAAAGGCTAAAAGAGACGCATAAACACTCTGGCCTCATGTGGATATTTTATGAGTGCAGGCAGGGAAATTAGTGCACCGTAAAATTTATGTCACAAGCAATCTATGCGTATTTCGGATATAAAATCAAGGTTGTACGGATGTACCCCAGTGAATTTCCGGTGGGATGAGAACTACTTACACTGCGGCATTTGAGGCACCTCCAATCATATCGTCATCAAGAAAGAAAGGACCTGCTGATGGATTCCTTCCATGGTACAGATTTGAGCAAAAAATTAGAATATTTTTCGCAAGCAGACCAAACTGGGAAGAGGAACGAACTAAATCACAGAAAAGTGGTCATATCTGGCATATCGACTGCTGTCTGTGCATATCGACTGCGTCTATGCAAGGGTCCACAGTTTAGAACCTTGTTTCTGCAACACTTGCACGAGGCTAGAAATGCTAGCTTCCTGTAAGCTCATAACTACGGAGTTAGGTAAGGTTAGGTAAGTGGGCTTCCTCAGTACATCGAGCACACTTAGATACGACTAAGCCGTCCATTTTGATGTCCTTAAGAGTGGAAAGGGAAGAGGACGCATAGAGGCCGGAAGGTGAGGGGGACGGTAGGGACAAGGAGGAGGAATGTAAGGGGCAGAATTACGACACCTATGGCTTCTTGCAAGAGCAACGCTCCGTGCTCGTAACGAAGCTCTTGAAGCGACTGATGATACCCATTTCCGGAAGCTCGTCGGGAGTGTGAAAAAAGTGCGACCCAAGGTGCTTAAACCTTAAGCTCGCAAAGGCAGAGAACTAGAGCAGCAAGTGTTGAGATGATTCCACCTTGTCATCTTCCATGCAGATGGTGCAGTAAGGGTCGCAATGACCAGTTGGCACTCCCATCAATAGCGAGATATGTACTTGCTTAGTCTCAAGAGCTCCCCAGACAACCCCCGGTCTACTCGTGGCCAGAAGGATTTTGCCACCTTGCATTCCAAGGTCTTCGCCAAGCGCTCGCTGAGCTGACTAAACGTCCATCTGTCCAGAAGCAGACCACACGAAGTCAAGGGAGCTCGCAGACCTCCTTCAGCCGGAAGAAGTTCCTCAATTTCTGTGTTGCCAGCTCAACGGCCATGCAAATTCTAGCGATTTCGCTGTGATATGCCCAAATAAGCTAAAGAGCGAAGTAATCCGATGCGCTCGATAAGACACCCTTCACCGTCCTGCCTGTGGTTCGGAGTGCCCCACTGATTCCAATTAGGGCGACTCTTTGCACCCTTTCCAGCTGCTTGACGATAAAGCGCTTGTCAAGTGTGTTTCATAACGCCAATCAACTACCTATGGCGAGAGATTTCAGCGCTTTCCAATGACCCCTATAAAATAATACAAAGCCACTGTAGCCTTCTTGGCTCTTACCTCCACGTTATGCTTCCAGGAAAGATTACGGTCAAGGATAAAGCCCAAGTACTTAATCATGCCACAGAGCCTTAGAAGAAAACCACCGGTGGAAGGAAGGCTGCAATTCGGTATCTTATAAATTTTTGTAAAAAATAACCATCTTCGTTTTACTAGGGATTACACCCAGTGCGCAACTACTTTTTAAAGATTCTTGTAGAAAGTGAAAACATATTAGTAACTGCAACAGAGCCAAGCTCTTTTCATTAGGACGCAGAAAACTCCTCAGTTATGGGGATACTCTCAGTAGCTACACTGCCTAAATGCCAGCATAATGCAAATAATGCAAGAGAGACACAGCTTTTGGGTACAGGATATTTAAGTAATCGGAATGCAGTCGCAAATTTACACATACAGCAGTTGCTCAAATTGGTAGGCTGAGTGACCTCATATTCTGAGGAGTAGAGGTTATGCGCCCAAGTGGCAATTCCATTTCAGCAAAAAACGCAGTTCATTCGTAGAGAACTTGTTTCGAAAGGCATATTTTCTATTCTTACGAAACATGATAAATACTTTTTGGTAATTTGAGAACCCTATTTGGCCATGACTGGTTTGATTGAAGCTGAAAAGGAAATGACCGAAGACGTTTAACACTTAAAAAAAAGTTA